TTAAGGAGAAGGAAGAATAAAGCCGTGCATCCCATGGTAATGGAAAGGCTCAGCTGTCTTTTCAGGAAATTGATGCCCGGGATATTTAAAGGATTCAGAGCAATTTCATTAACAATGCTGATGATTATGGTCTGATAGTCAGTGGGTGCAAACATGTGGCAGTGGCAGGGGCTCTGGCTCTCCTCTGAGTTCCCCTGAGTCACGACCACCTCAGAGTCTGACTTTGAACCGCAGACCAGGTCCTGCTCCAGCAGCTCAGCACTGCCCAAGATAACCCTGCAGTAGGCAAAGGAGATTCCAAGCCATATGACCCAGATCTGTAATGTGGTCCGTAAATATTTAGCATCCAAAAGGTCTGCAAACGTTCCTCTTTTTTTCCAGGACAGGCTCCACCAGCTTCCCCTCCGGCATGACCACGTGGTTCATCTTGGCGATGCACTCCAGAGTGGCCAGGGCAGCCAGAGTGTTCCCAGTGGAGACATTAAACTGGGCAGATTCAGGAATAAACTTGAAGGCCATGATGAGGATGATGCCTGGGATGGAGGCGACATGGATGAGCCAGCGCCACCCGATGGTGGGGATGATTACAGAGGCCAGGCCAATGATGAGCAGAGAGCCCATGAGCCAGAACATCTGAGACAAGGGTAATATATAGCCTTGGTATTTTGTGGGCAAAAATCGTCTTTATGATTAACCCTTGTGAGTGGCCGGACATGCCACAACCCAGCATCGTCTGCAGGAAGACAAACCAGATGTATGAAGAAGCAAATGAGGTCAGCATGGAGACACAGGAATGAGATGAGCAGAATCTTCCAGCAGCTGTATCTGTCAGCCAGGAGGCCAAAGAGGATACTGAAGACCATGTAGTCAAAAAACACCACCGTGGTTACTAATGCCACCTGCCAATTCTCCAGTTGCCACTCACAGCGGATGATGGGAGACACAATAGCTATCAACATGATCTCCATGGCCTCAACCACCTTAGTTTTCAAAGGAGGAAGCAGGAGTAGTGGTGTGGTCTCACAGACATTACCACTGCTGTGAAAACCTCTGGGTGAAGCTGTCATTATTCTGTCCTCAAAATTGCATATACACATGTCTTCGTCCATTTGTGCTGCTATCACAATATGCCCGATACCAGGCATTTTATGTGGAATCTAAATTTATTTTCTCACAGTTCTGCAGGCTGGGAGCTGAGATCAAAGTGCCAGGAGGTTCCGCTGCCCAGAGAGGGATGTTCCCTCCGCAACAGAGGAGCGACTGTGGTCACAGGAGAGAAACACAAAGAAGCTGTTTTTTCTTTGTTTTCTGAAAGAAAAATATATAAACAGATCTTCTACATTTATATTTTTAATTTTCCATTCAATCCACTTTTCGATATTGCCTTGCCTTTGAGCTCTTGCTACAGTCACCTTTGCTACTGCTTTAAGAGAGAATTTCCAGGTATTGACAAAGAATAGGACTGTTTTATTAAAAGCTTTATTTAACTTGAAAGTGGCTGTGGAAATTCTGTTAATACCACTTATCTGAGGAGTGCTGATACCTTGCTGACTCATGCCACTGGGCCCCACCACAGGCCTGGAGGGCAAAAGCTTGAAGGTCTCACCTCAGCTCACTGTACCCCAGAACTTCTGCTGCCCAGCCCCATTTCTATTTTATTCCATTTCTAAAGGGTAGTCAAAGCTGGCTTTAGTCCCCTGCACTGCTTCCAGAGTTCACCGGAGCTCTCCTGCATGGAGGTAATCACCATGACAGGCAATAGATCTCTACAACTTATTCCTCGCATCTAACTGGAATTTTGTGTTCTTTAACTAGCATCTCTCCAATCCTCTAACCCCCAGTCTCTTTTTCTACTCTCTTTTTCTATTTGTTCAACTTTTTGAGATTGTGTGGTATTTGTCTTTCTGTGCCTGACTTATTTTACTTAACGTTATGTCCTCCAGGTTCATCTGTGTTGTCTAAAGTGACCAGAATGATTTTTTTTAATAGTAGCCATCCTTACAGTTGTGAGGTAATATCTTTTTAATCAACAATAATGTATTGTACACCTAAAACTGTTAAGAGGACAGATATCATGTTAAGTGTTCTTACCACAACAAAAACGGAAAATAGAGGATGGGTCTGATGTTAAGTGCCCTTACCACAAATATATATATATATTTCGGAGAAAAATGACATGTAAATGAGCCCTTGCATGGAATTCTAAGCATCTTCAGGTGTTTTCTCTGCATTCTTTGCAGTGCTAAGAGAGTGCCTTTCACATACAGATGCTCAGTAGGCATTGGCTTCCACCCCTTTCTTTCCTTTTTTTTTTTTTTTTTGATGTTTAACACCTTTTCTTTTTTATTGCATTTTAGGTTTGGGGGTACATAAGCCCTCCATGTGAATTACTCATGCCTGCTGGAGGCTGCAGTTAAGCACAAATCTCCATCTAAAGAAACATTCAGGGAGAAAGAGTGGGTATATTAGAAAGAACAAGGGTTCAAGTCACATGGATCTTGATGAAAATCTTGACTTTGTCATACACCTGCTAGGTGACCTTGGCAAATAACCTCTCGGAGCCTCATCTTTTTTAAAAATTCAGGAAAATTGAGAATTGTTGTAAAGATTAGAGGAGATAACATATGTGAAGCCTCTTATATTAAATCAGTGTCCTGTCTGCTTCCTTCTTTTTGGTCTGGGGATGATAAAGTGATTTAGGTCTTCATGGTGCCACTTCCTGTGTCTCTAGATTGGGCACAATATCATTCAGTGTTCTGTGAATATCATCCAGATTGCACGTGCCTTTGCACAAGGTTTGCAGGGAGCTGATAACTAATTCCAAGGACAAACTAAAAGGGACCAAGGAATATTTGGTGATATGTTCCATGCCATTAATTCCTGCCTTTGCAATTTCAGCAGATCGGGTGACAGCTTCATACTAGTGAAAAATCCCACTGCTATAATATACCTGCAAATTTGTCATCAATTTTTTTTGAGATGGAGTTTTGCTGTTGTTGCTCAGGCTGGAGTGCAATGGCAGGATCTTGGCTCATTGCAACCTCCACCTCCCGGGTTCAAGCAATTCTCCTACCTCAGCCTCCATGTCATCAGATTCAATCCTTGTGTCCAGTACCTAAATGCCCATGAAATATGTAAACCAAAACAGCCCAGACAGCTACAACCGGGGAGGATATTAGTACAGTATAAAAACTAAGCAAATAATGAGTGATGGTGGATAATAAGCTACCTACACATTGCTCTGTCTCCTGCTCATGTTCCAGTTTGGTAGGGAAAAAAGTACTTAACCTATGCAGTAGGTGTCACTAGTTAATTGAAGTGTCTCCACTCACTGAGGTATAATCATGTTTTTTTTCCCCCTATGAAATCCTCCAGACTATACTTTTGAAATCCCTTTCTCCCCAATGAGTTTCAGACACGCTTAACAGCACTGAGGGAAGTAGAAAACTCCCTGTTTAAAGTTTCCTTTCTTGTTAGAGAATAAGTGTTAATAACTTTATTAAGCCTTATCCTGTGTAGCTGTTAGACATACCATGCTTACAGGCATGTGGTACGTTCTATGTTCTTGTACTTTAACCAGGATATCTGTGCTGGATGTACTCACAGGCATGTCCAGGCTCCCCATTGCTTTTACCTGAATAGAAAAGTTTTAAGTTGTGAACCAATCAGGTTTTAGTTTGGATTGTGAGGTCTGGCTCCAGCCAACAGAGATCAAACACAGCAGTAAGAACAACCCCAAATGCATAAGGACAAATATGTCTCCTTTCCTTTGTTCCTTGTACTCTTGTGGCAAAATGGCTAGTGAGAGCAGCCCAGAAAGTAAAACTTCCTTTGCTAAAAGATCTTTTGCCTCAGTGCTAATTTTTCTTTGCGGCACTTAGCATTTATTTTCAACAGCATCTTAACCCAAATTCCATAACTTTGTACTCACTTGCAGTTTTTAAGTCTCCTTTAGCTTCTTAAGGCATTTGTAAAATACCCCTCTTAAGTGCTCTCTAAATCCTGTCTTTCCCCTGCCCAAAGCTCAGACAGAGGCTGGGATTCTCTTGGAGACAGCGAAAGGAAGGACATCTGGTTAGTTTTCAGCCTGCCCTCTGCTTCCAGCTTCCCCAGACCATGTGACCAAGGGATGGGAAGGGACAGAGAGGAGGCTGGAAGTCTGTGGAACCTGATCCTTTTTTCATGGTTCCTACTGCTTCCCTAAGCAGGCTGACCTTTGGTTTCTTTTAAGGGCTATAGCACTTAAAGCAGGCACCGTTTTAGCTGTGTAGTTTGAAAAAGTTGTGTGCACTACAAAGAAAACCTACTTTTGTTGTTACTTTTGGACCCAGGAGAAATGGGAGTCCTTTTCAGAGAGCATGGGAGATACATGAGTCCTTTGCAGTCCTCTTGTCTGCCTCTGAGTGTGAAATGAGAGTGTGAAGCACTCTGGGAGGTGGCCAGGCACACAGCTAGGCACAGTGCAGAGCAGAGCTGCTGTCCTGGTGGTGTGGCCCCACTAGGGGCCATGTCTGAAAGAATTAATCACATTTCATATGCAAGCCTGCTTCCTGTTTGACTGTGCTGTTGTTTTTAATGAGAGCATCACCAACAATGCTTTAACCTGATAGCCCTGCCTAATTGTGTTCTATGTAATAATGCGTGGGCTCGAGGAGGAGGCAGGGTTGGGGGAGAAGGAGGGGAAATGGATGTGTGAATTAGGGAAAGGTGTCTCTTCCTTTGGAGCATGGATGGGTTCAAAGCCCTCCTCATACTACTATTTGGCTGGACACTACCAGTTATGCATCTAAATTGTGTGTGTGTGTGTGTGTGTGTGTGTGTCACCAGGGCTGAGCTGCACCTCCTTCTTTCTGTGGTAGCATGTTACTCAGAACCTTGGATAACCCCAGCACTCCTAAAAACACAATACACGTATATTATAAGAAACTTATCCTGATGATTGGTGAGAGGGTGATGATTTAAACCATCTCATTTCCCATTAACCACTGAGTCCAGCTCACCTTTGCTGAAGAGGGTTCTTGACTCTTGCTTTGTAGCAGGAACTCCTAAGTTCATCAAGCCTTTCAAGAGTTTCAGGCTGAAAGTCAAGATTTCTCAGGTTAGACCCAATGTTAAAATTTTAACTGGGCAAATTCTCATTAGAGACAAGGGGGCAAAGACTCTGCCAATGGAATCTAATGTCTTTTAATGTTGACTTCAATCCAGTAAAGCCCTTGTTAAGCCATTGAACTATAAACTTGGGCCTCAGGGAGGCAGTGCACACTCTGAAATTAGAGGTCAGGAGATTTAGATTTGATTTCCAGCCCTCTGCCAGTCAGTCAGCCACTCACATTCAAGTGGCAAGCCTTAGGTGAGTCACTTTCTGTCTCTGTTTCTCGATTTTTGCACAGGAATTTCTGTGGGCCTTAAGGCCCACTGGGAAATGATCCCTTTTTCAGCTCAGTGACTGGTTTGTTGAGTATACTTGTCAATCTGGACTTTAATACACCTATGATTTTGGATTACCTCTATTACCTCTGCTAGAAATTAACACAGAAAATTCACAGTTGATTGACAAGAATGAGAATCAGTTCTAAAGAATGAAAATGTAACCGAATCCTTTATTTTTTTTATTTTTATTTTTATTTTTTTTTTTGAGACGGAGTTTCGCTCTTGTTACCCAGGCTGGAGTGCAATGGCGCAATCTCGGCTCACCGCAACCTCTGTCCCCTGGGTTCAGGCAATTCTCCTGCCTCAGCCTCCTGAGTAGCTGGGATTACAGGCACACGCCACCATGCCCAGCTAATTTTTTGTAGTTTTTAGTAGAGACGGGGTTTCACCGTGTTGACCAGGATGGTCTCGATCTGCCGACCTCGTGATCCACCCGCCTCGGCCTCCCAAAGTGCTGGGACTACAGGCTTGAGCCACCGCACCCGGCCACCGAATCCTTTATTACTAAAAGAATGCTCAACTCAAGTGGACACCGATCACTCATTCTAACTTCATCAGCTATAGCACCTAGAGACAACTTTTTCAAAATAAGTTGAGAAATCCTGCTCTAAAACACAATTGTTCTCATTTTATGAAAAGTCAGTGTCAGGGGTGGGGTGGAAGGGAAATATTCTAGAACAGAGATGTCCAGGATAACTTTCCATAAAAATAAAAATGTTCTATATCTGTGCTGTCCAATATAGTAGCCATGAGTTACATGTGGCTACTAAGTACTTGAAATGTAGGTAGTGTGACTGAGGAACTCTAGATTCTTAATTTCAATTTAATTTTAAATAGCCACATGGGCTAGTGGCTACCACACTGTATAGTGCAGTTCTAGAATAAAGCTAACTAAAGAGAAATGATAACTAAATGCAATGTATGAAACTTGATTGCAACCAGGATGGAAAAAATAGCCATAAACGAAACCTTAAGAACAACAAGGACTAGGAAGTAAATAATATAGAGTATTTCTTCTAATTGTTCTGGTGTTTATTATCCTTATTTTTGGGAAATACTAAACTAGTAAAGGCGAAAACCTCATGTTCAGTGAGTGGAAATTGAAGGCGACTAAAGAAAACCTGACAACTAAATTCAACATGGAATTCTGAGTTGGATTCTGAAATAGGCTTTATTCAGATTTCATCAGGTTCTCAACAACATCCTTTGCTAATTTCTCAGATTTAATAATTATACTATGATTATGTAAGATGGTAGCTGTAGAGGAAGCTGGGTGAAGGGTATACAGGAATTCTCTCTACTATTTTTGCAGCTCTTCTGTGAGTCTAAAAATTATTTCAAAGCTGAAAGATAAAAAAAAAAAAAAACTTCCTTTAACTTTTAAGATAATTAACAGGAAAAGCCCAAAATTATTTCTATGCTGCCTATAATCTGTGCTCCACCTACCTCTGAGGCATGTTTTCTCCTCCTATTCTTACTCTCTGGTCTTGCAGGATTCCTTTTACTTGCCACAGGCCCTTTGCACATGACGAGCACCCCTACTTCTGTAGGCAATCACTTTACTCCCAGCTTTCAAGCTCAAAGCTCTCTCGCCGTAAATCCCATTGCACTCTTGACTCTTTCATTGCCTACGTCACTTTTTGTTACATACATTTACTCAGCTGATGACTGTGTCTTCCTTAAAAGATGATAAGCAAGCTCCCTGGGGGGAAGGCCACTGTACAAAAGTGAAGGCACACATCTCCACACCTGAATAAGCTTAGGGAAAAAAACGCAAAAGTTGGTAGATATAGTCATATGACATAGTTTCTGACTCAGGCATTCAATATTAATGGAAGCAGCAGGATACAGTGGTTAACCAAAGAGACACATTCCCCGCTAGACATGCTGGGAAAATGAGTCATTCAATGAAAAGCAGCAACAATGGTGATGCCCATCAGAGATTATCATCCAGTGTGGGAGAGGAAGCCCCGATGGATTCCTGCTTGCTATTTTTATCTCTTGAAGCAGGAGTTCCTCATAGTCTTTTTCCTTCAAAAACTGACTGTCAAAGGCCAAGGGAACTCTTTCCACAAAGCTCCTCTTTCCAGCCTTTTGCAGATCAGACCTACAGATACCATCAGAGCAGAACAAGTGGTTCCCAGTCTCAAGGGGGAAACTTGCATTCCTGATTGAAGAAAGCCTGACCTTTTTGTTTTGGAGACAGAGTCTCACTTTGCCGCCCAGGCTGGAGTATATAGCATGATCTTGGCTCACTGCAACCTCCACCTCCAGGGTTCAAGGAATTCTGTCGCAGCCTCCCAAGTAGCTGGGATTTCAGGTGCCTGCCACCATGCCTGGCTAATTTTTTGTATTTTTAGTAGAGATGGGGTTTCAACATACTGGCCAGACTGGTCTCAAACTCCTGACGTCAGGTGATCTGCCCACCTCAGCCTCCCAAAGTGCTGAGATTCCAGGCAGAAACCACCATGTCTGGCCCAGGAAAACCTGATCTTCTAGGCCTCAGTTGGCCCAGGAATGATCCACTCAGATCACTGCCTCAAATCTCTCACAGAAGTTTGGCTATCTCCTTGCTAAGCCAGTCCTTTACTCAACAAATATTTTTCAAGGACCAACTACATGCCAGACATCTTCTAGAAGCTGGAACTAAAGAAATAGAGCAGACAATACATCTGCCCTCACAGAACTTACCATCTGTGTGTTGAACACATATTAGTAAAATATGAGAGTATTTTAGAAAAAGTGTGCCAAGAACAAAAAATAAGAATGAACTAAGAAAATACTGTACAAGAAAATAAAGAAAAAAACATAAGGATAGGTAATTATAAAGTGTACATGGGATTGTTTGTGGCCAGCAGTGTGGCAAGGCACGCATTTTTGATAGGGCAGCAAGGGAAGACCTCGTGACTTTGGAGTGAAAATGTGAAAGAAGCAAAGGAATTAGCCATGGGGGTGTCAGCAGGGAGGGCATTTGTGCGACAGAAAATGACAAACGCAAATGCCTGTGTCAGAATTGAGTCTGGCATTTTCAAGGGGCAGGAAAAGGCCACGTGGCTAGAGCTGATGCCCAACAGGGAGAAAACTAGGAGGCTGGTCCTGGTCTCATTCCTGATTGGTCACACATCCTTATCAGTCATGATGGCCTACTCATGAAAAAGAGGGCTTCTGTGAAGCTTTTTTTTTTCTTCATTCCCAGGATGGAGTCTCACTCTGTAGCCCAGGGTGGAGTGTAGTGGCACAATCTCAGTTCACTGCAACCTCCGCCTCCCAGGTTCAAGCAATTCTCCTGCCTCAGCCTCCTGAGTAGCTGGGATTACAGGCACACACCACTACACCTGCTTAGTTTTGTATATTTAATAGAGACGGGGTTTCACCACGTTGGTCAGGCTGGTTTTCAACTCCTGACCTCGTGATCTGCCTGCCTGCCTCAGCCTCCCAAAGTGTTGGGAACACAGGGATGAGCCACCATGTCCTGCCTGTGATGCTCTTAAAACAACTTCTCATCAAAGGCACAAAAGTAATGCACTGCCCTACTTCACTATTCTGGATTTTGTCATCACATAATAAGCAGGTGATCCATTATCCATACTTACTAGGCTCTACTGGAGTTCCACAGCCGGCACAGAAAAAATTCTGGGCTGTCACCACAAGGTCCCTCCTGAATACAAAAAAATGAAACTAGTCACGTTTCAGAGAAGGCTGATGGAACATTTTTTCACTAATTGGAAAAGAAACTGCCATTGTGATATTTTTCTCAACTAAGGGCGTTAATTTTGTCACTTTTCATTTGGGAAAGAAATAGATTTATTCAATACAATTTTCTAGTTGAAATCTCTGGGTCTTTTAAAGCTGTGACTAACTTTTTTTTCCCTGAGATAGGGTCTTGCTCTGTCACACAAGCTGCAGTGCACTGTTATGATCTTAGCTCACTACTGCCTCCAACTCCTTGGCTCGGCTCAAGCAATCCTCAGTCTCCTGTGTAGGTAGCTAGGACTACATGTGCACATCACCATACCCAGCTTTTTAGGCTTTTTTTCTTGCTCTGTTGCCCAGGTTGGAGTGCAGTGGCGCAATTTCAGCTCACCACAACCTCTGCCTCCCGGATTCAAGTGATTCTCCTATCTCAGCCTCCCAAGTAGCTGGGACTACAGACGTGTGCCACCATGTCTGGCTAATTTTTTTTCTTTTTTGTATTTTTTGTAGAGATGGGGTTTCCCTATATTAGCCAGGCTGGTTTTGAACTCCTGACCTTGTGATCCGCCCGCCTCAGCCTCCCAAAATGCTGGGATTACAGATGTGAGCCACTGTGCCTGGCTTTTTTTTTTTTTTTTTGTAGAGACAGGGTCTGTCTATGTTGCTCACAATGGTCTCAAACTCCTGGCCTCAAGTCATCCTTGTAGCTCGGCCTCTCAAAGTGCTAGAATTAAAGTCATGAGTCACTGTGTTCAGTCTTAAAGTTAGAACTCTTTAAAAGCTTCTGCTAAAACCAAAACAGAAGTCAGTGTCACTAATAACTCCAAGAGGTTTTGTGATGTCTCAATGCCCATGCACAGGATTCCAGCTCCAGAGAGAACTAGAGACATGTTATATAAGGAAGACAGTTCAGAAAGGCTGTACACCAAAAGGTGATGCATTTGGGAAATTCACAAATGGATTTAAAGAAATTTAGATGAATAAGAGGTACTGTAAGACAAAGAAATCAAATCAAATATTTCTGGTAAGAGATATTCCATTCTATCGAGGAATTTTCTTTCTTTTTTTTTTTTCTTTTTTTTGAGATGGAGTCTCACTCTGTCGCCCAGGCTGGAGTGCAGTAGTGCAATCTCAGCTCACTGCAACCTTTACCTCCCGGCTTCTAGCGGTTCTCCTGCCTCAGCCTCCCGAGTAGCTGGGACCACAGGCATGCACCAACATGCCCGACTAAGTTTTTTATTTGTAGTAAAGATGGGGTTCCGCCATGTTAGCCAGGCTGGTCTTGAACTCCTGACCTCAGGTATCTACCACATTGACCTCCCAAAGTGTTGGAATTGCAGGCATCGGCCACTGTGCCCAGGCTGAGGGATTTTTCTATTGAACTGTTTATGCCATAGTTTTACATATGACTTGGAAATACCAAGAAAGTTATAAAATTTGATTACAATTCAGGATTGGCAAAGACGGCCAAGGTAAAAATATGCCAAATCTCTGCTCAGGACCTAGGAAAACCCTAAAGAAAAGATACCCTAGGCTACGGAAAGTGACCCCTCACAATGCCTAGAGTGGGAGTTCTGACCAAGCAGCCCCAGAGACTTTCTTGGCAGTCTCTCAAAAGAAAAAAAAAAAGATATAATCTATAATGCATCTCCATGGGCACAGCCACCCTCTCTCCCTCCCTTGGGCACAGTCAACAACCCTCACCGGTCCTTTTGTAAGGCTTGGCGGTTTGCACGCCAAACTGAATACAAACCAAGAGGGATGGAAAAACTATACTTGGTTAAAATGTTTTGTGTATAATCTCTGCCTATAATCTGTCCTATACTCTCAGAACAAACTACACTTAAACTATTACTTTAAATATATAGGTTTATTTCCTTTCTTGTGTAATCTTAGTTGTTTAGTCTTTTAGAACTTTTGTTACTTCTTAGAGAACAAACATTTTAATTTACATTGTTACATTTCTTTTGTTTATTTTGAGATCTCAGTTTACTCTGTCTCCCAGGCTGGAGTGCAGTGGCATAATCTCAGCTCACTGCAACCTCTGCCTCCTGGGTTAAAGAGATTCTTGCACCTCAGCCTCCCTAGTAGCTGGGACATATAGGCCTGCACCACCATGCCTGGCTAATTTTTATATTTTTAGTAGAGAGGGGGTTCCACCATGTTGCCCAGGCTGACCTCAAACTCTTGACCTCAGGTGATCCCTGCCTCCCCAGCCTAGGCCTCCAAAAGTGCTGGGATTACAGGCATGAGCCATTGTGCCTGGCCTCTCTTACATTTTTTAACTGGAAGTGCTTTCCCTAAGACTAAATTTTCCATTTTTAGACATTTGTTCATTCATTTTATTTTTACACTGACTGTTCTGGAAGGTAAAGTGGTCCAGTCTTTTAAAATTATTGCAGGCTGGGCAAGGTGGTTTACACCTGTAATCCCAGCACTTTGGGAGGCCAAGGCAGGTGGATCACAAAGTCAGGAGTTCCAGACCAGCCTGGCCAACATGGTGAAATCCTGTCTGTACTAAAAATATAAAAATCAGCTGGGCATGGTGGCGTGTGCCTGTAATCCCAGCTACCCAGGAGGCTGAGGCAGGAGAATCACTTGAACCCAGAAGGCAGAGGTTGTGGTGAGCCAAGACCATGCCATTGCACTCCAGCCTGGGCAACAGGGAAAGAATATATCTCTAAATAAAGAAATAAAATAAAACAAAATTATTGTATATAATTTTTAAGTTTTGATATTAGCCACCTTAAAAAAGTCCGCTTTAAGTCCATTTAATATTGACTTGCTGCGTAATATTCACAATTAGCAATGCCTAGTTAAATTCTCAACTTGTCAAAACTTAGAGTCCCCAAAAGTCCATGGTAAACAAGAGGCCAAAAAAAAAAAAAAAAAAAAAAAAAAAAAAAAGCTAAGCCAGAAAATACAGCCAACTTTCCTTCTCCTAAATCTAGTTTTCCTGTCTTCTTCAGCATCTATGTTATTTTCACCTACCGCCATACAGCAGGTGGGATCTGTCCCAATGTATTTCAAATGGATTAGAGGTCCCAGCAGCAGCCCATACTTACTTGAGTGGTAGATGAATATTAAATATGATTTGAAATCTAGGAGGAGCATAGTCTTCAGTCCCTCTGATCCTAGACTTAAATTTAAATTCCTGTACTATATTCATACTGGATTCAAAGTCTTTTCAGACACACTCTTCATTTATGACCTGCATAATACATAAAATGATTTAGAACAACTTAAACAAGCATATTTCAAAGAATTTAAATTAAAAGAACATCTAAATGTATTTCCAACATTAAAATTTACCATGAAAAATTAATAGTGTTTTCAACCAAACTGAAGGACACATCAAGAGCCCTCTACCTCTCTAAAGCCGTCTGCAAGAGAATTGCTTTAAACACCACCCAGATGAGGTCTTCTTAGTATTTTTAGTGCATTTATTTCCAGACTTAAGATTTACTGTAAGTAGGTCATTCTGACCTGGAGTGCATTTATGAATAGCAGAAGCCTCACTCCTCTTAGCCAACAGACTGACAGATACTATCATTATCAGTCTTCCCCAGAAACAGTGCTATGAAGATCATTCCCCTTGCTTATAAATTTTCAGTGCTTCCCCTCTCAACCACTGCATTTTCCTATTATTTAAAATCCAAACTTCTCGGTTGGGTGCAGTGGCTCACATCTGTAATCCCAGCACTTTGGAGGCCAAGGTGGGAGGATCCCTTGAAGTCAGGAGTTGGAGACCAGCCTGGCTAACATGGTGAAACCCCGTCTTACTAAAAATACAGAAGTTAGCCAGAAATTGCTTGAACCCAGGAGGCAAAGGTTACAGTAAGCCAAGCTCATGCCACTGCACTCCAGCCTGGGCAACAGAGTGAGACTCTGTCTCTATAAATAAATAAAATAAAATAAAATCCAAACTTCTTAAATTAGCTTTCTACATCCTCCACAATTTGGCCACTGTCATTCAAACCTTATTTCCATAAAGAACAACCTCTCACGCACAAACACTCACAAACAGGTATTACCCAACCACACCGAATCACTCTGCTCCAGAGCATAGCATGCCCCTCCACGTTTGCTGCAGCTACCCTTTGCCAAGAACACCCTCCCCCAACCTTTCTACCTGCCATAGTTCTGGCCAGTCCAATACTTAACTCAAGTTCTGCAATCGCCTTCCTAAGTTTCCCTGCTATTAAACACTCCCTCCTCTGCATGGTGAGGGCGTTTTCCCTACCCCGACTTTAGCCTTTGTCACAATGCTCTCTACCCCAGTGGGCTGTCACTCTGAGGGCATTGTGTTCCATGAGGGAACCAACATGTACTTTCCAATGAGGCAGCCTGGGCATGACTCCCGCTTCACGGCTTACCAGCCTTGCTGAAGGGCTGGGTCCACCACTTAAAAATAAAAATAAGGACAGCCTCTACCTAATAGGATACTTATGAGGACTAAAATGTGGACTGCTGACTGGGCACGGTGGCTCAGGCCTGTAATCCTAGCACTTTGGGAGGCCGAGGTGGGCAGATCACTTGAGGGTAAGAGTTGGAAACCAGTCTGGCAGGCATGGTAAAACCCTGTCTCTACTAAAAATATGAAAATATTAGCTGGGCATGGTGGCGGGTGCCTATAGTCCCAGCTACTCGGGAGGCTGAGGCAGAAGAATCACTTGAACCCAGGAGGCGAAGGTTGCAGTGAGCTGAGATTGTGCCACTACACTCCAGCCTTGAGTGACAGAGTGGACTCCATCTCAAAATAAAAAAAAAATCTGGACTGCTGAGCACAGTCTCTGGTACACTACAAGCATTCAATACATGCCAGTTTCCTCATTCATTTTGAGTCTCCCCTAATATCCAGTTACCATACAAGGAAACACAAATGTTTAAAGTGAACAGGGCAGGTAAAATGAGGATTTAGGAACTTTTGATTCCAGGTCAATTTCTTGTGATACTTACTATTGGGCCAGCTGCAGTCAGGGAACCTGCCAGCTGAGAATTAACTACTGACAGTATCCAGCACTTCTGGAACATGCGGTATAACTCTTTGGCTAATAGTTCAGGAGAATTGAAGTCTGGCTCATAAGTGACACTGAAAACGTAAGAGATGCAAAAACTGAAAAACTATATTCATGAGGAGTATGTTCAGAGTCTTCCTGAGGTTTTCAACTGTTCTTCTCATCCCCACAAATGCAGAAGAGGCCATGATATGAGATGATGCATCAATTACTCACCAGGTATCTTACTCAACATAGCTCTTCCATGTTCAATAAATAAAGCATCTTTTATTTATTGAGGGCACTAAGACTTGGATATGTGGTGACAGAGCACTGGCTTTAGGGTCAGAAGACCTGCATTCACGCCCTGCTTACACCCACAGCCTTCATGTCCTGAAGCACATTCTATATGAGTGTCACTTTTTATGTCTACAAAATGAGGTTTAAAAATACATAAATATATAGTCAAGCATGGTGGCTCATACCAATAATCCCAGCATTTTGAGAGGCCAAGGCAGGTGGATCACCTGAGGTCAAGAGTTCGAGACCAGCCTGGCCAACATGGTGACTAAAAATACAAAAATTAGCCCGGTGTGGTGGCAGGCACCTGTAATCCCAGCTATTGGGAAGGCTGAGGCAGGAGAATCGCTTGAACCTGGGAGGCAGAGGTTGCAGTGAGCTGAGATCAGGCCATTGCACTTCAACCTGGTTGACAAGAGCAAAACTCTGTCTCAAAAACAAAAGTTGATATATACACACATGCATATATATGATTTGCCCAGTCTAGTCTACTGAAATGAGGATTAAATGAAAATGCATATAAAAGACTTTTATATATTGTGAAACACCATAGAAACTTTGGGGGCGATTATTTCATTTCTAGGTGTAATCTCCTAGATTCATGGGAACAAATCATTGGAACTAGTTGAAGTGGGCCCAGAATGTCAGAGGCCGTGTTCACACTGCCTCAGAGGTGACAACCCAAGAGTGTATGTGTGCCGTGCACAGAAGACAGATACCTCTTAGAGAAGCTGCAGGAACAGCTACAGGTTTCTGTGATGTCATTAAACTCTCCAAGCTCTGTGGGAAAATAAAAGAAAGAGTGGTAAGGTCTTTTAGTCTGTTTCATTTAGTCACAGTCCATTTTATAAAAAGAACACTAAAATCACTCCCTGCATCTCAGGAAGAGCCAATTATTCACCATCTCCATGCTTCAGGTTCTAAGAAATGAACAGAACAGATAATAAGAGTACAGGTAATAATGAAAGATGGGATTTCATTTGGAATTTCACTAAGATATAACCAAGAGGCCAAAGAGATATCTGACCATAATGAATATCTGCTGTTTCATTCAACTCTACAAGTGAGATGAGAGATTAGCTATCAAGACATCTGAAATAAGAACATCTTTATATCTATCTATCTATCTAAAGATGTTCTTTAGATATAGATAGATAGATAGATAGATAGATAGATAGATAGACAGATAGATAGGTATCAGGGACATACCTGATTTTAGAAGTTTCTTTGAATGCCACTGTAATGTAGTATTGTATGTGATGCATGTCAGTATATATATATATACAGACGGGACTAGGGAAGCAGCCAGTTATATTCAAATAGTTTCCAAATCTTACCTAAAATAACAAATTCATCAACGCCGCATTTGCAAATCTCTTTTGCCACATCATGGTAAGTAAATGTTTCTGTCACTGGGCTGACCTGTAACACAGCACAACCTAGACAAAGAAGAAAAGGAGGTTTTTACCAACGAGAAGAAAAAGAAAAACTGTACAACCTGCAACACCCAACTAAATAGAAACTGGGAAAGGAAGAGGGTAAACGTTTAAGTTAATTCAACATTTCAACATAAAGAATTAAAAACTTAGGGAACTAATTTTGTGTTCTTTTTGCATTCCCTATGATTAAGTGAAACAGACTGATAGTTTATGGGGGGGCTTATCATGGTATCAGCCTACCTTTAGGTATGTTTGAAAATTTCCATGATACAAAGTTTAAAAAGATGAAAGGAGGGGAAGCCATCTCAGCTTCACAGGGTGGTGAAGAGTATAGGAGACATAAACACTGTCCTGGATTAAACTACGTCCTCCCAAGACTCATGTCCACCCAGAACCTGTGGATGTGATCTTGTTTAGAAATAGAGCCTTGACAGAAGGCTCAAGGTGAGATGAAGCAATACTGGATTATTGTAAGCCATAAACCCAATAAGAACAGTGTCATAAAGAGGGAAATGTGGCTACAGAGACACAGGTACACAGAGAGAATGCCATGGGAAGACAGACTGGAGTGATGTGTCTACCAGCCAAGGAATGCTAATGATCACCAGCAACCACCAGAAGCTGGGAAAGAGGAATAGAGCAGATTCTCCCCGTCAGCCTCCAGAAGAAACCAACCCTTCCAATGACTTTGTTTCTAACTTTTGGACTCTACAACTGTGAAAAGATAAATTTCTGTTGTTTTTAAGCCACCCAGTTAGTAGGATTTCATCACGGCAGCCCTAGGAAACTAATACTAACATGTGTTTCAATCCCTAATACCATTTCTGGGGAGTTATCCTAAGCATATCATTAGAAAGAAAGAAGAAAGAAGAAGGAAGGCTTTCATCACAAAGGAGCTATTTGCAGCTCATTTAAAATATTAAAATATTGAAAGCATCTAAACGTTTAGTAATAGGAAATTGATTTTGCAAATCACATGATTAAATACTATCATTTAAAAATGTAAATCTGCCAGGGGCAGTGGCAGGCTCCTGTAGTCTCAGCTACTCAGGAGGCTGAGGTAGGAGAATCACTTGAGCCCAGGAGTTCAAGGCCAGCCTGGGCAACACAGCAAAACCTCATCTATACAAAAAATACAAAAACATTATTAGCCCAGCGTGGTGTCCCATGTCTGTAGTCTTAGCTGCTTGAAAGGCTGAGATGGGAGGATCACTTGAGCCTGGGAGGTGGAGGTTGCAGTGAGCTGAGATCACACCACTGCACTCCCACCTGGGTAACAGAGTGAGACCCTGTCTCAAAAAAAAAAAAAAGTGAAAACTGCAGCAACATGATTATTAATATTATTAGTACAATTAGTATTAATAATACTATTAACGCTGATAATAGTGTTAATAATCATACGATTAATTATATTATTTATATAATTTTTATATATAAATTTGTAAAACTGTCATTTGAATAAACATAGGAGAGAAACACAGAAAAATGAATATAGTTGTTTAGGGAAATAGTCTAGTGCATAGTTTACATAGAAGTTATGTGGGCTGGGCATAGTGGCTCATGCCTGTAATCCCAGTGCTTTGGGAGGCTGAGGCAGGCGAATCACGAGGTCAGGAGTTCAAGATCAGCCTTGTCAACATGGTGAAACCCCATCTCTACTAAAAATACAAAAAAAAATTAGCTGGGCATATTGGCAGGGGCACCTGTAATCCCAGGTACTTGGGAGGCTGAGGCAGGACAATCGCTTGAGTCCAGGAGGCGGAGGTTGCAGTGAGCCGAGACCGCACCATTGCACTCCAGCCTGGGTGACAGAGCAAGACTCCGTCTCAAAAAAAAAAGAGAAAAGTTACGTGAAAGTCTTTGCAGTAGACTGGCCTGATTTTAAGATAGAATCCATTCTAGCGGGGTCACCATGGACAATCACAACTTCCAGCTTCAGTTTCCTCATGGGTAGAATAGGGGTAATAGTGCCCATCTCTGTGTTTCTTTTGCCCATGATCAGTAACATACAATTTACATTGTGACTAAGTATAGACACAATAATATGTTTAACTGATTAAAAAAAAAAAAACTTCAGAAAGCATTGCTCACCCTCAGTGAGATGCATTCTGCTACTTTCTATCCTTGTTTTTTTTAATGTTCTCAGGACCAACCTGCAGTTTGAATAATACCAACCTATCTCATGGAAGAACATCTATTGCCACAAATGTCACAAGAGAAATACTTAATAAAAGATAAATATTTATATTTGGAGGATAGAAATATAAATTTTCATTTAACATATTCATATTTATTCATGTTTTCTTAAAGTTTCAGCTACCATCAATTTCCACCCAACCACTAAACAAATGTTTATTAAAATACCTATTTCAGACAAGGTATTATACTAAACACAAATATAAACAAGATAATCTCTCATCCATCTAAGAGATTAAAATCTTATGAAGGGCTGGGTGTGGTGGCTTGCCCCTGTTAATCCCAGCACTTTGGGAGGCTGTGGCAAGTGGATCACCTGAGGTTGGGAGTTCAAGACCAGCCTGACCAACATGGAGAAATCCCATCTCAACTAAAACTACAAAAATTAGCCAGACATGGTGGTGCATGCCTGTAATCCCAGCTACTTGGGAGGCTGAGGCAGGAGAATCGCTTGAACCTGGGAAAAGGAAGTTGCAGTGAGCTGAGATGGTGCCATTGCACTTCAATCTGAGCAACAAGAGTTAAACTCCATCTCAGCAACAACAACAACAAAAAGAAAAGTAGGATGAAGTCTAAGATTTAGAAAAAAAATAGAATTGGACAACTGAATAGAGCATAATCAATTTCGACTCAGATGGCAGAAATGGTGAGGATTACATAGATTACTCAAGACGTTTTTAGACAAAGGATTTAAAGACATAAATTAGTCCTCCTTTGTCTGCAGTTTCACTTTCCATGGTTTTAGTTACTTGCAGTTAAGTGGTCCAAAAATATTCAATGAGAAGTTCCAGAAATAAATAATTCTTAAGTTTTAAATTGTGCACCATCCTGAGTAGGATGATGAAATCCCACACTATCTTGCCATGTCCCCTTTAGGACATGAATCACCATGTGTCCAGCATACCACACTGTACTAAATGCACTAAAATGCCCACTGGTCATTTAGTAACCCTTTTGGTTTGGTTACAGGAACAACAAAAAATGTGTAGTGTATTTAGGGTTTGGTATTATCTGAAGTTTCAGGCTTCTACTGGGAGTCTTGGATAAAGGGGATATTATAGAGGAGATATATGTGAAATACATAACATACAGCTTTCTCATATTTGCCCAACTTGCCTTCATAGCCACTGTATGAAAAAATGGAAGACCCAGATTCTTGCTTTATGTTGGTATCAAAAGTCACTTCAGAGTCAGGCTGATCACTCCCAAGTAACCCAAGGGCTGCTTCTTTACTCCAGCTCTCTGCTGTTGACTCAGAATGTTACACTTCATTTTCTCCATTGTTGATATAATCATATCTGCAACATAAAAGTGGGAATTTTCCTGCAGAAAAAGAAATCAATTAATATACAAGCATAATCAACTTTTTTCATGGAGGGCGTATTAGATTTGAAAAATCAAGAAGCTCTATTTAAGTGGAATTAAATTCATTTAACTGAGTTTTCATAGGTCACTTTATGACTTATAGCATACATTGTCCAGAAACATAGATTTGGCTTACTATAATCAACAGACAACTCAAGTTGGATTCTTTTTTTTTTCCAGAGATGGGGTTTCACCATGTTGGCCAGGATGGTCTTGATCTCCTGACCTCGTGATCTGTCCACCTCGGCCTCCCAAAGTGCTGGGATTACAGGCATGAGCCACCATGCCTGGCCCTCAAATTGGATTTCTTGTACAAAGCCCTAGGTTGGGGAAAGCCCAGTGGCAGACATCATTCATCAATCACAGAAAACTTTCCAGCTGAGCACAGGCACTGCCTTGGAACCCTTTATCTTAGTTTTTTTGGCAGTCTCTACCAATCAAATGCTGAAAGGAAACATATGTGATGTTTCATCAAATTGAAGTTTCCAGATTTAAATCAGAACAACACTATCTAAAGAATTAAGACTCTATGATTAAAAAGAAAGAAGACAGCATTCACCTTTTCTACATCAACAGGCAGCACAAATACCTCTGGTGAGAAGGAATTACAAGAAATTGGTTCTTCTACTGACTTGAACAGCACCTGCCAATAAAGCAAGTTATTAAAACTGGAGAAAAGGGAATTTAAAGATTATCTAAGAAAATAAAACAATTCTAGTGGCTTTTGAATAATGTAAAAAAATAAGCACAATTCTAGAATAAATTAAGATGACAAGAAAAGAAAGATCTTTCTGATGGCAGGCAGGTCTTGCAGACTGCTTTAGTGATGGTCATTTCTAGGAGAGGCTGTTGGAGTAACTGGGAGGTATCCTCAGAGAAGGCATGGGAGAACAACCAGAGTGGAGATGAATGAGGAAAAGAAGGTAGAAAGAGAACAGAGTCCTGGGAAATCCCAAGAGAGGCTGGGGAAGGGTGAGAAGCCACAGTCCAGAAGCAGGGCCCTAAGGATTATAAGATCACTTCTCTAACTCATTGTGATTGACCTTAAACTCCCTTTTTTTCCCCCCTTCTTTTGAGACAATATCTTGCTCTGTCACCCAGGCTAGAGTGTGGTGGTGTGATCACAGTTCACTGTGGCTTCAACCGCCGGGGCTCAAGCAATTCTTCCACCTCAGCATCCCTAGCAGCTGAGATACCTGTGCCACCATGCTGAGCTAATTTTCTAAATTTTTTTTTTTTGCAAAGATGGGGGTCTCATTAGGCTGGTCTCAAATTACTAGGTTAAAGCGATCCTTCTGCCTCAGCCTCCCAAAGTGCTAGGATTACAGGCATGAACCACTGCACTCAGGCCTAAACCTCCTGCCTAGAGAAACAAAATTCATCCAAAAAAGGTCGGCATTGCTTCTCCAAGATAGTATTCTTCCAGTCAAAACCAACAAACTGCAGAAGGTACATTCTGCTGACACATCCATTCCTGCACCCTTAGCCACTCCATTATTGGCAATGACCACCATCAAAACAAGCATTTTTTTCTGTCATGTGATTCTTTCTGCAGCATTTAAAGCAAACATTTCTGGGTAAAGAGCTGAGTTGTCTCAACCTGCTAAATTAAAACAAAATGCTGCACATGGTGGTGGCACAGCTTTCAGCGTGACAGAGTTGCAAGCAGGGTCATTCAAATCCCTTGCTTCATGTTCAAGAAAGTAGCTGTTGCATGGAAAAACTTGGACTTCTTAGCTTCAAAAGCTAGGGGTTGGCAAGCTTTTTCTGTAAAGGGCTAGGTAGTATATATTGAAGGATCTGAGGGCCATGCAATATCTGCTGCAACCACTCTATTCTGCTACTGTATTGAGAAAGCATCTAAAACAAAAGGGAAATTCATTCATAAAAATAGGAAGCTGGCAGGATTTGGTACACAGGTCATAGTTTGCAGACCCTGAGTATAGAGGAAAGAGCACAGAGTTAGCCGGGCATCGTGGCAGGTGCCTGTAATCCCAAGTACTCAGGAGACTGAGACAGGAGAATCATTTCAACCGGGGCGGCAGAGGTTGCAGTGAGCCGAGATCACACCACTGCATTCCAGCCTGGGTGATTTAGAGTGAAACTCCAACTCAAAAAAAAAAAAAAAAAAATAGAAAAGAAAGAAAGAAAAGAGAAAGAAAAAGAGCACAAAGAAGAATAGAACAGAGCGGATTCCCGTTCCAGCTGTCCATTCACCAGCTATGCTCTTGCATCAAAATTGTCTCAACCCTTAAATTGGGATAATTATGTATCAGGACATTAAGAAGATAAAGGAAGGTGAAAGTGCTTGTAAAAAACATGTAGTTCCCACAAAAGAAACTCTGGAATCCCTTCCTATAGCCTCAAGAAATGCTTACAGACACAGATAATCTTTCCTAAAGTATTTTCTGAAAAAAGAAAACCCTTTTGCTACCATCTGAGATGCAGCATTCATAGGAATATTCATGTCTTAGTGGCTGATGCCTGTTTTCCCTATTGCTGCCCCCACACTAGAGAAAGAACCAGATCACTCAGGGCTTCTTTTTCTTAATCTTAGAGAATGAATCCCCTTAACAAGTTTAAGAGATATTCTCAAAACATTTTGTGAGTGGTTTATAAAGGCACTGACAGGAACTCCTGGGAGTCCTTGTCTTTGAACAAAAGGGGTTGGGGTACCTGTTTTCTTTCTGAGAACATGACAAAGCTAAAGATAATTTTTAATTCTAGAACTACTTCCTATACCGTGATAGAACCAAAGTGGCTTCAGGTAGGTTTTGCTGGTCCCCAAAAATCATCTTCAGTTTATTATAACTTGTCACTATGATGGTGCTCTGTTGGGGAGAGGGCTTTCCTCTATGAGACAATCTATTAAGACTAATCTCTCACTTAGCCACTACTAAATTTGCAAGTTACTGTTAATTCTTAGAACTATCCAAGCAAGTGAGCAAAAAACTAGGAAAAAAAAAAAGAATGGCCACGCACGGTGGTTCACACCTGTAATGCCAGTACTTTGGGAGGCTAAGGCAGGTGGATCACAAGGTCAGGAGTTCAAGACTAGCCTAGCCAACATGGTGAAGCCCCGTCTCTACTAAAAATACAAAAATCAGCCTGGTGTGGTGGCGGGCACCTGTAGTCCCAGCTACTCAGGAGGCTGAGGCAGGAGAATTGCTTGAACCCGGGAGGCAGAGCTTGCAGTGAGCCGAGATTGCAGCACTGCACTCCAGTCCTGGTGACAAAGACTCCATCATTTAAAAACAAAACAAAAAAAAGCCTGTAATCCGTCTTGTCATTTTACTCAAACTTGGTCCTTTTCTGAAATTAACCATTGAAAGATTGTCTGAAATTTGTTCTTCTTAAGCTATGAATAAATGTGTTGAAGACTGTCATCATCTTTGATTGCTCACACATTTCCAAAAGAACAAATAAACCCCATATTTTAGGTAAGGGGGAAGATGAGCTCCTGCTAGTGAGAAAAAAATAGGCAGGCAGCAGGCAGACTGGTGGCTTTTTAAATTGATTTGAAAGAAAAAGCTTCATTGCCTATTTGTACTAGGGTTCTAATAGAAATGTAAATTAGTAATGACAAGTGTGACTGTAACATAAATATTTAAAAATGAAATAAACGTGCCACAGATTGTAACAATAATAGCTAACTTATTGACTCTTGAGTAGCACTTTGCATGGATTATCCAATTTTTAGGAATTTTAGGGTCTTAGGAATACGTACATTACTCCATAGCAGTGAGGGCCCTTATTTTAATAAGAAGAGATTTTGTATAGTCTTCGAGGGGAAGTGTAGTTATTGTTTTAAAATCTTACTATTTTCCCATCAGACACTGCAAAGGTAAATGTAACAAGTGAAGCGAGTTCATCACCTACTAGGTACTGGTGTGAAATGGAGCCCCGGTGACTGTCTAGAAACACCTCCAACCCACACGCTGACTTGAGAGTGCTTCCGATGCCCTCCCTTGTAGACAAGCAAATGAGCTCTAAGTTCCTGAAGGCAGACACCAGCTTAAAGATGGCACCTGACATTGATTATCAACTACGTTAAGCTAAAAAGATGAAAATTCCCTGCAGTCAAAGGAGAAAGCCAATACTTAATTTCACCTGTTATGACCACCCAGGTGGCTGGGCTGATGACAATCTTAAATGAGGTAATGCACTGGTGTCTGGTCAAAGTGGAAACAATGAACTTTTCTCCCATAGGGAAGACAATAAGGCAGGGTTTAGAGCAAGGCAAAGCAAGTGTGTGAAAAAAGAGGACTGAGGGAAGTCATCTACTAAAATTACCTTCATCAGCAGAAGATGTCAAGTGGGAAGGCTCAAAAAGATCACTGTCAATCTCAGGATATGAGGAGGTGTCCAAAATCCTAGGGCTCATAAGCAGAGACACCTGATCAGAGCATCCTGGGGGGACCACTTGTCCTTCTGTTGAGGACAGAAAGAAGTTGCTCCTCTTTTCACTCGAGCCATGGGGAGAGATGCTGCCAGTGGAGTCCGTAGTATCCTCTGACAATGTCGTCTCTGCCAGGGAGTCCCCAAGGAACAAAGGTGAAAGGCCTGAGGGAGAGGCAGCGTCCATCACAAAGTGGGTCCCACTGTTCCCCACTGCTGGCACCTGAGGTTGCAAGTCCTGCAGCTGTTTCTGCACATCTGGGGACTGATCCAGGAAGCTCTGTGCCTCATGAGCCTGACATCTAATTGGCAAGGAGGATGGTCAGTGTTCAGGAGTCTGGGCGAACCATCAGTAATGCCAGAGTGATCGCTGATCCCTTCCCAGGGGTCCACAGGAGAATCCTGTCCGACTGTAGACTGTGACACCATCTTTCCAGGTGTGGGGCTGGTGTGAATCCATTCAAAACAGATAGAGGGAGTTCCCCAATTGCTGTTGTACTACTTGATTTGGGCCCTGAACTCACCACATGGCCAGCTGGGGGTCTGGAGAGCTATTCTGCAATGAGCAAAGAATCATTCAAAATAAGTAAGAATTCTATTGTATCTTGGCTACAAATTATTTTGAGATGGCAAAACCCAAAACATTTAGAAGTCTATACTTGGCTCTACCCAAAATAGTAAAGTCCACTTGGATTTACAAGTCAAAAAATAAATAAATTAGCTATAAAACTGCAGCAAATCTAGAGAGGCTTGACATTGGGAGAGGATACATTTTTCAAAGCATAAAATTAAGAAATCACAAAGGAGATTTCTTACTGATAAATTACATAAAAATGTAAAACATCCATGCATCAGAATTATTTTAATACAATTAAATGTCAAATCCAAGATGGAAGTAAAAACACATTTGCATATTTTTACTCTATCACCTAGGCTGGAGTGCAGTGGTGCAATCTTGGCTCACTGCAACTTCCGCCTCCCGGGTTCAAGCTATTTTTGTGCCTCAACCTTCTGAGTAGCTGGAATTACAGGCACCCACCACCACACCTGGCTGATTTCTGTATTTTTAGTAGGGACAGGGTTTCCCTTTTTGGTCAGGCTGGTCTTGAACTCCTGACCTCAGGTGATCCACCTGCCTCAGCCTCCCAAAGTGCTGGGGTTACAGTTGTGAGCCACCATGCCCAGGCATTTCCATATGCTTTTATTTTCATTTAGTTGGTCTTTGTGTTTCAGTGAAGTAGGCAAAGTGGTACCTAAAACAGAGGAATGATCCATAGCACTAAAGATTTGGCTCATAACTTTTACCTTGCATACTTACAATATCAATATCAATGTATTCTCAGTTCACAATATTTCAATAATACAGTATGAACCTAGAATCCAAATGACCCACTCACTTCTAAGCTCAATTTTTAGCTTTACTGAAGAGGTAATGATTAAAATGTTGAGAGCTACACAAATAAGAAGCACTCTTGTCACTGTAATTACAGGCTAGAGAAATGTTTTGTTTTTCCTTTCTCCCACTGCCCTTTGCATTGTGAAGCTAAAAGCAACTTTCAACAGCAAAAGCAAGAGCCGGGGAAGGCCTAGAGATAGAAGGGTAGCCTATGCCACATTCACCCTGCACAGTAGTGAACATGAGACTCTGGAGTCAATTATAGGGCTGTAAATACCATCACTGTGTATGTAGACAATTCCCACATGTATCTCTCTATTTCTGATCTCCCAGCTAGCATGTCTTACTGCCTATTTGACATTTGTCCAGTGGGCATTGCAACCTGATACATCCAAAACAGTCATTCATTTCTCCCCAACCCTGCTCCTTCCCTGCTTTTCCCCCCAACATCCCACCCCAGTCACCCAAGCCTGAAACTTAGGAGTCATTTCTGATCCTGTCTTTCCTTAGCTCTCCACCTTCATTCAATCAGCAAGTTTATAGTGATAGCTGCCATCTTAGTCTGAGTAAACATCTTCTCACACCGGGACATGCAGCCAGAGCTTCCCAATGGGTTTCCCTGCTGTTACTCTTGCCCATTTATTTTATTTTATTCTGCTTTTTTGAGATGGAGTCTTGCTCTGTCACCCAGGCTAGAGTGCAGTGGTGCAACCTAGGCTCACTGCAACCTCCGCCTCCTGGGTTCAAGCAATTCGCTGCCTCAGCCTCCAGAGTAGCTGGGATTACAGGTGGTCGCCACCACACCCGGCAAATTTTTGTATTTTTAGTAGAGATGGGGTTCCACCATCTTAGCCAGAATGGTCTTAAACTCCTGACCTCGTGATCTGCCTACCTCAGCCTCCCAAAGTCCTGGGATTACAGGCGTGAGCCACCACACCAGGCCTGTAACACCATGTTTTAACCCCCAGAGGGGTGCACCATTCCTGGAGGTACTGCAATACCAGGTGAATGTGTGGAGTAGACGGAGCAAGCTCCTATTCCATATCCCTGCTCCAAAAATTCATTTAATATATTGTCCTCAGATAGAGGACATATCAGATATCAAACTGATAAGAATGGATACTACACTCGATCTTAGCCAAAAGGCCGAGAAGCCATTACTCTTGCCCATTTATAACCAACAGGTATTCAGACATATCTTTTATAAACCTAAATCAGATCATGTAGTTGCCCTAATCGAAATTCCCCAAAGGCTTCCCATCAAATCTGGAATAAAATCCAGACTCCTTACCTTGTCCTCAAGTCCTGACATGAGGCTGTCCCTGTGAACCTCTCTCACTTATGTTCATCCAGCCTCCATAAGCCCCAACCACTCTGAAAGCTCTTGAGCCCTGTAGGCTCCTTCTAACCCTAGGAGCGCTGTTCTATGTTTCCTCTTTCTGAAATGCTCCTCCCCTGGATGATCACACATCTGGCTCTTTCCTGTAGTGAATGCCTTGAGTTATAAATTACTTCCTCAAAGATATCTTTCCTAATCACCTTTCTTAATGTAGTTCCTCATCATTACCTCTCACATTGCCCAAAATATTTAGTTTTCATCACAAAGGTGCTTACTTCCTGCTATTTTTTAGTTCATCACTGCCATTCTTCTCCCACCCCCACCTAACTATAAGCTCCATGACAGAAGGGGCCTTGTCTGTTCCCTGCTGGGTAGCATGCCCCATACCTAGAGTTGCATACAGGGGTTCAGTACATGTTTATAGACTGAAAGAACAAATCCAACAAAATGGAGACAAAGCTAAAAGCTAGAGAAAAGGCTGGGTGCAGTGGCTCACTCCTCTAATCCCAGCACTTTGGGAGGCTGAGTAAGGTGGGTAACCTGAGGTCAGGAGTTCAGGACCAACGTGGCGAAACCCCGTCTCTCCTAAAAATACAAAAATTAGCTGGGTGTGGTGGCAGGTGCCTGTAATCCTAGCTACTCAGGAGGCTGAGGCAGGAGAATTGCTTGAACCCAGGAGGTGGAGGTTGCAGTGAGCCGAGATCATGGCATTGCACTCTAGCTGGGGTGACAGTAAGACTCAGTCTCAAAAAAAAAAAAAAAAGGAAGAAAGACTTAGAGAAAAGACTTCTGTGGCAGATACAACTGTTCTATTAAAAGAATTCACCTCTATTCTTGTGTGAGTTCAGAATTACTTATTATTCATACAAGAATAGAAGTGAATCCATGTTTCCTAAAACCATGAAATTGTTCTCACCCAATAATAAGATAAAAGTTCAGTAGACCAAAATAAGGTACATATGAAAACTGTTCTTGAGACTTTGAGTCTCAAGAGTTTTTGAGACTTCTCGATTTGTGGGCCCTATATTCTAGTTCATACCTTTTGGAGTAATGATTTATATGCACACACACACACACAAATATACACACACACAGTTGACCCTTGAACAGCATGGATTTGAAGTTCATGGGTCCACTAATACATGGATTTTCTTCCCCATCTGTCACCCTGAGACAGCAAAACTAACGCCTCTTTTCCTCCTCCTCTTTAGTCTACTCAACATGAGAGGATGAGAATGAAGACCTTTACAATGATCTATTTCCATCTAATGAACAGTAAATATATTCTCTCTTCCTTATGGCTTTTTTTTTTTTTGAGACGGAGTTTCGCTCTTGTTACCCAGGCTGAGTACAATGGCGCAATCTCGGCTCACCGCAACCTCCGCCTCCTGGGTTCAGGCAATTCTCCTGCCTCAGCCTCCTGAGTAGCTGGGATTACAGGCACGCGCCACCATGCCCAGCTAATTTTTTGTATGTTTAGTAGAGACAGGGTTTCACCATATTGACCAGGATGGTCTCGATCTCTTGACCTCGTGATCCACCTGCCTCGGCCTCCCAAAGTGCTGGGATTACTGGTGTGAGCCACCGCGCCCGGCCGGCTTTCTTAATACATTTTCTTTTCTCTACTTTATTGTAAAAATGCAGTATATAGTATTCTACACTAACATACAACATATGTGTTAATCAACTGTTTATGCTATCGGTAAGGCTGTGGTTAACAGTAGGTTATAAGTCATGTTAAGTTTTGGGGAGTCAAAAGTTATGCACAGATTTTCAACTGTGCAGGGAGTTAGCGTCCCTAACCCCTGCATTGTTGAAGGGTCAATTGTATGTGTGTATATATCTTTTGTATATAACATATAATTGTTTCTGGATACATATATATATTTCTTTTGTATACAACACATATTAGTATATAAATGTACCTTTTGTATGTAACATACGTATATACACATATACATGCATCTTGAAAACACACAAAAAGCCACAAATCACCATTCATAAAATATCACAGAAGGCCAACTACAGTGGTTCATGCCTGTAATCCCAACACTTTGGGAGGCTGAGGTGGGTGGATCACCTGAGGTCAGGAGTTCAAGACCAACCTGACCAACATGGTGAAACCCTGTCTCTACCAAAAATACAAAATTAACTAGACGTGGTGGTGCATCCCTGTAATCCCAGGTACTTGGGAGGCTGAGGCAGAAGAATTGCTTAAACCTGGGAGGTGGAGGTTGTAGTGAGCCGAGATCATGCCATTACACTCCAGTCTGGATAACAAGAGTGAAGCTCCGTCTCCAAAAAAAAAAAAAAATATATATATATATATATATATCTCACAGAGTACAGCTGGCTGTGTTAACTGCCAGAACTCACTAGCCCAAAATGCCTATCTTTCTTCTCCCGACCTCAAATCTCACCTTGTACACCAATTTCTCTTTGTCACACATCTTTTCTTCTCACTAATTCTGAATTTTATAATTACAAAAGGAAACCATGACTAGGTCTTTATAAACTGCCCAAACACAGAAGCCTAGAGTAAAGAGCAAACAGCTCTCATCACCGTAAGCCCCACAACCCTACTTTATTCTCAGAAATAACATGTTAACCATTCTATTCTTTCTAGACCTTTACCTATGAATTAGTGTACAGATTTCAGATACAAAGATACGTTTTCTTTTTTATATACATCCATGGGATCATACCGAAGATATTCTACAACTTACCTTCTTTTCCACTCAACAGTATGTCTTGAAGGTGTATCTGATTCTCCTAAACAGTCTTAGTATAAATACATCACATTTTACTTAGCCAGGCCCTC